GGCCTCGAATTCTTTGCGGATGGTTGCGGTCAAGTTTAATTGTCGACTAAAATCTTATTGCTAAACAGGTAAAGATCTCGGACAAAAGTTTTAAAGTTGTTAGTTTGAGTATCTCTTGAGACGACACTATATAATTGGTTTAGTTATTCAGAATAAAAAACGTTAATCGCCTACTTAACCACATAAAGGTTTTTTTAATAGCATTACAAAATGTAAATTTGCTATATATGATTGACATTTGTACATGACAACTATGAACCATATGCGCAGTGGTTCATAGTTGTCATGTACAATTCACATTCAATTTAGAAAATCTATTTAATCAATATTTTAACAGTTACATATATCTTCTGAAGACATGGTAATTAGTGACACTACGTAGCTTCTGAAGGAGCTGACTCGTTATTAGTTTTTAAAGAACATATAATTGTTGGCAATTTAAGGGGAATTTTAGTGGAGAGATCAAAGAACATACTCGTTATTTTTAGTATTGTAACATTTTGGTATCGTTGTGGATCGCATCGATATATATATTTAAGACACTTTCAATACTGAATAATCTAATACTTAGCATAATTTTCTCCGTTGGTTTCTCAGCAAAGGTCAAGAATCGTATGGAAGTGCTGGAACTCTGGTCGCTTGGCCTCTGTCCGAGTAAGGACTAGACCGACAAGTACGGCGTCTGAAATATGGTTTCTCACTTGACAGATTTTGGTTTGGTAGGCATCACCCCTTCGTTTAGGGCTTATGATCCATTTGGGTAAGCATGTTTTGAGCCTCTTTGTGAGTAATTTTTGGTTACCCTTTGATGAGTTTAGCCTTCTTTAATTTCTGTTACGTTACCTCTTTTTAAAGGGATTAGTCAATATATTGTGTTGATGTATTTCTTTTGCTGTTTTAGTTGTAATCTACCCCGGCTAGAACAGGTTAGGAGCAATTCAAACCTTTATCTATTTAAGCAATGTTTTAAACATTTTTATTCTAAATTTTTCTATATTTAGATTGTTTTCAGATCTAAACTTCTTTCTCTATAGTTTAGATAAAATATTCATGCAAATTAGAACTAGAGAACCGAATGCCAACTCACAAGAGATGGATTTTCAATTGCAAAGGATGTTGTCTGTTGATTGATAAGCTCGTCACAAGGGGGATATCAAATATAAGTCAAAGGTCGAACAAAAAGGCTCGTCTTACTGATCAGAGGTCGGCAAATACAAAGTACAAAAGGAGAATAGAAATTGGTCGTCACTTAGAAACTATATGCCGTGCTCTCTGTTGTACTCTCTGTCCTTGCTCAATACGTTCTGTCTTGTCACATCAAGTTTCTTTCCTTTTATAGGCAAGTGATGTGACAAGACACCGCCTTAGGTTAGATTCTCGCGGGCCGATCGTCATCATGGGTCGATCGTCTTGGGTCGGGCGACGACTGGGCCGCTGCATGGGTCTGATCGTCGCTTGTCGTTTTGTGAGGAATGTTGCCACGTCACTCCTCTTTTGTCGGGCCGAGTGTAGACAAGTGGAGGGGGACTCGTGGGTCGAGGCCCATATCCAACATTCTTTTGAAAAGAAGTTAGAGATGTGATTTTCTGAATGCGAGAACCTTATATCGATTCGCAAGAAGTGGATTCTCAATCACAAAAGATAAATACACTAGGCAAAGAAGTTAAAGACATGCCTTTAAAACCCAAAACTATTTCCTTTGATGCATGAAATCTATGGTAGGGTGACAATATATGAAGTAATTGTTTAGACATTAAGTTACGAAATAATGTTGTTGTTGTTTTTCTTTTTTTATTTTTTTTAATCAAAATATCATAGCATGAGAGGTCCAACATCTTACCAAATCAAAAAGAAAAAGCATTGCACGTTTAAGTTAGAAACAAAATAGGAAACATAAGAGCATTATAGAATTGCTGATAAATGGCATTACACTTAACCAAGTGCTGTTTCTTTTTAGATAAGACCTTACTGAAGTATCGCACCATCTTTGAAATTAATCAACTGTACTTCTATATTTTCATCTTTTTCCTTAAAACAAGCCTCCTCACATAACTCATAACACTTTTGGTGTTTTTGACCTCCTCACCACATTTTTCTTTTGTTCAACAACCACTCTTTATATATACGAGTACTTCCTTCAAAATTTTCGGAATGAATTTGGTTTCTTTATTCGTGATTGTTCTTCTTCATCTCTTTGTTAGTTGTAATAGTTTCCAACTGGATCTCTTCAACTGTGAGTATTCCGTACATGTTTCATGATTTGAGACAATGAACGTATTATATTATCTATTGGTTGGTTCTTTTATTTGATGTATTGTGATTTGCGGGGTTGTAGATGTTGCGAGCGGATCTAGCATACATGATTGTTCGAATGCATGTGGTCTATGTAAACCATGCAAGCTCGTTGTGATCATTAAGTGCTCGGCCTCTAAGGCTTGCCCTCTTGTCTACAAGTGCATGTGCAAAGGCAAATACTATCACGTGCCTTCCCTCACCTAAGCCTTTACCTCACGTGACCAGATGCAAACAAAAATACTACGGCAATTTAGAGATGATAATCTAAAAAACCTTTTTGTACTAATCCCTAAGATCCTTCTTCCTGATCAACATTGGCTCGTTCTTCTCTTTAGCGTAGAAATCAAGTATGTAACTTTTTCGAACGGGAGGATGAATAGTGGGAAACCCTAGCTCTTCGGAAAAATAACTTCTCTCTTGGTTTGTAGAGAAATCGGCGAATCTCTCTGAACAAAGGGAGGCATCTAACAACATTCGACAACAATGACATTTAACACAATAATTTTTAATTAAGTTACAATAAATGTCAAACTGATATTTAACACAATAATAAAAAAAAGATTTTTGTACAAGTCTTGGACATAAAAATAAAAAATTCTAATAAAAAATTATCAAATAATCATACTAATAATATTAACAACTTTATTAAAAAAAATCTGAATCTTGAATTAAAAATTAACCCAAAAAGGCTTTGTATATGTGGCATGACGTTAAAATTAACTTAGTTGTTAAAATCTCTAGAAGAAAATATATTTTACTACATCTTAGTTACTTTTGGATAGAAGTGCGTGAACAAGGTTGGTAAATCTTATCTTACGGTATGTGAAGATGAATTCTTGATGTATCTTAATAGTTAACAATGTAGTTTTACATAAAAGTCATTTACTTATGTTTGGTTGGACATAACTTTCTCCTTCAAAGAGGCCCTAACGCAAATACATTAGACATATTTAGTCGAAATATTCGTTGTGCTTGGATGATGATTAATGAGTCGTACTTTTGAGTTAGCTCAATAAAACAATAATTTCTAAGAAATTTAAGAAAATATTATTTGAGACATTTTGACATACAATACTGAGTATGATGATATCAATCTTGTTGACTCAACTTGGAGGATTAATGTTCAACACAAGAGAATAGTAGTGTTTATTGCATAAGAAAATCATTAGATATATATGTTTCAAAGAACAAATTAATACTCCCTCTATAAGCTATTTTTACTTTAAACATCTTGACGGGGAAGATATATAATAGCTACAACAACATGCGCCAAGAAAACTACCTCAGATCTCTTTCATCTCTAATTCATCTCTTTTCCATTTCTTGTAATCTTTGTCGTGGGATTGCAATATCAGTGATTCGAAATCGTCGGATTAAATAGCGACTTAACCCAACCTGTCACTTTAAAGTAGCAACTGTCGCTAGCTTTTCTATTTTACAGATCCGTAAACTCAAATCATATTAAAATTACCAGATATTTAAGATCTGTACGGTTTTATCATCTTCTCCATTTATAGATCTGTACAACACAACCCGTAAAAACAAAAAAAAAAGAGGAAAAAAAGAGTTAAGACTCAGTTGTTTAAAACTAGTCGCTGCTAACAGTCGCAAGACTAGGAAAAGAACAAGGCATTACTAACCTCACTGCTCACACTTTCACAACTAAATCTTCACATATGTCCAAATGCCTCAACATGATTAGTTGGATATTTTTTAAGTAACATAAACAAAAATTTAATTAAAGAAAAACAAAATATTTGTTCTTATCTAAATATATTTTAACAAATTATCTATTAAATAGGAGTGTTTATACTCTAAACATCTTGAAAGGGAGGATATAATAGTTATTAAAAATAAAATATTAATTTATTTATTAAATATGAGTGTTTATACATACTCTAAACATTATTATTATCATTTTAAAAATTATTCTAATTTGGTATAAATGTTATTTAATTATTTTCCATCTATATTAACATTTTTGAAGTACCTTTTGTGTTCAAAATTTAAGATAAATTTTATAATTAAATCATAATAAAATTGCAAAATTAGAAATCAATATTTATTACATTTAATAAATTTCCTAAAATCTCTCTAATAAATCAAATATTTCTCCAACATCTTTATATGATCTTATTTGTTTTTAAATTTATATTATTACATAAATATATGTATAATAAAAATATAATTTTTTTTTGCATATGTTGCAATTTGAATTTTTAGAAACGGATGTATATTACTCATTGATACAAAAATGGATGTACTAAAGTATTGTTGATAATTGTATAGCACAGGTCATGTGATGTAACGGGTTATAATTTACATAATTATGATTATAAATATTTTTACGGGTGGTCTACTATAGTATTACTTACAAAATATTTTAATATGAAATTATACTATGTAAACGAATATTATGTCAATATCATTTCATTATTTTAAATATTATACTTATTTAATTAATTTTATTAAATTGCGATTATATATAGAATAAATTATCATATAATATCGTACGGATTAAATTATAAAATTAACAATCAAAATATAGTTTTACACTCCTTTATACCAAACAAAATTAATAAAAAGAATATATTTTAGTAATGTCGCGCTGTACCATAATAATAAAAGAATTATAATATGATTTTTTTTTGTTTTGTTTGAGTTTAGAATTACAAAAAAAAAAAAAAAAATCATTTGTAAAAGAAACACAGAAAAAATTGAGGAAAATCTCAGTATAAACTTGAAATTTCATCACCCTGCTCCGTCTTCTTCTTCGTGATTCAGTTCTTTTGTTGCCTTTTGCTTCTGAAAAATTTCACTCTGGTAAGCCCTCTCTGCCTTTACCATCCCTTCTTCGTCCTTAAGCTTTCTCTGGGTTCGCTTTCTGAAGAACCCTAGAAAAGCTCGAGAACCTTCTTCTTCTTGTTTTTTCCCCCTTTCTCTTTGCAAAATCAAAATCGTGGTTTCACTCATCTCTACGTTTTTGCAGCTTTCAGGGGTTGTTTCTGGGTTGATCGCACTTCTGATTTGTTGAGATAAACATGCCGAGGAACGCAATTTCTGACGATGAAGGTACCTAATGTCGCTTCGACCAAACCCTAATTTTTCCTCTGTGGAACGCCGTGATTTCACTAGGGTTTTGCTTTTTTGCTTCTGGTTTGTATGAAAGTTTGATTCTTTTTCTCTCTTTCAAGCAGATGATCATGAGCTTGAGGATGAGGACGGAGAGCCAGTTCATGGAGATCCTGTGGAACACGGTGACGATGATGATGAAGAAGATGATGATGACGGTACATGTTTTTCCCTTGATTTTGACTCCTCCGAGTGAGAAATGATTGTTCTTTGTTTCTGTTCGTTTTGACATTTACTCTAAGTTTCTTTTTGCTTTTCCTGGCTATCGTTTTGGTTACCATCCTAAATCTGAAAGCTTTAGACTCTGATTGCATCGAAAGAGATGAATACTATGGCTTGGTTAAGTACATAAGTACATCTAGTTTCATTGTCTGAAAATTGATTCATTTGAAGAAACACTGCTGTATCTCAGTGGCTGCATTTGGCAACACAATAAACAGTTAGGAAACCAATGTTACTGGGTCGAAGAAACTTAATGATTGCACAGATTCTTAGATGTTTTTTTTGCTTATCATACTACAACTTGTAGCCATAAAGGTCTTATTGCATTGAAGGAAACTAGTGGTATTATTTTGCCAAGTACAGAGTTGCATGAAGTTCACTGTCTTGAAACTGATGCATTTCCATTGAAGGATACAATGTGTGCATTTGATTGTTCGAAAGAATCGAATCGAATGAACAGACATGTGTGTTCTTAGATGTTTATATACTTCTATCATTTCTTGTATATATCTTCACTCTCATATAGATCCTTGATTTATATGTGGCAATGTTTCCTTGTTATGTTCCTTTAGACTTCATTGATTCTGTATATTAAGCTTTGAGTTCCACATTTCTCTCACTTGGGTTTGGAGTTAATGCTGTATTTTCCTAATATTTTGAACTTAGATTCAGGCTATTTTTGTTCCATGATGTGAGTTCCGTATATTTGTTTTGTAGTTGGGAATGAGTATGAGAATGATGGGTTCATAGTGGGAGATGAAGATGAGGAAGAAGAACAAGAGGAGGATGAAGAAAGGCAAGATAGCGATGAGGAAAAGCAGAAAAAGAAGAAGAGGCGAAGAAAAAAGTGAACATTATATCCCCTACTCGTTCTCTTAATTTTACCTCTTATATTATATGAAAAACTTGATGCCAGTGTTGACATGCGTTATACATAATAGAATGTTGCAGGATGCAGTTTATGAAATGTTCCTTTAATTCTCAGCAGTCCCTTATGATTAGTATATTATTCACTGTGTTATGGACTATAGCAGGGCTGTTCTCTAACTGATTAACACGTATTATGTTTTTAATAGGGACGAAGATCTTGATGAAGATGATTATCTGCTTCTCCAAGATAACAACGTCAAATTCCAAAAGGTTTGTCATATATGTATATTACTATATCAAGAGTTTGTACATATACTAAAAATATACGTGCAGTACTAATATTGATTGATTTTCTTTTTCTTGAACCATGACAGAAGAAGTATAAGCGGTTGAAAAAAGCTCAAAGGGAAAGGGAAAATGGCCAGGGGGGATCATCTGATGATGAGTTTGCTGGAAGTGGTGGAGCTAGAAGAAGTGCTGAGGATAAAATCAAAGACGGGCTGTTTGATGATGATGTTGATGGTAGGATCTCTCGTTCCTTCTGATACGCCCCTGGGCAAATCACACCACAGCCTTCCTTGGTTCATTGGCGCATAGTTGACTATGTACTTTTTGTGTCTAGTAGATCTACCTGATGATGTAGGCGATGAGGAAGATTTAGTTGTGGAAGAAGATGTAGTTGGGAGTGACGACGACATGGCAGATTTTATTGTAGATGAAGATGAAGGGCAAGGTCTCCCTAAGAGGTATTGTTTTTCTGTCTTTTATCTCTCTTGTGATTTAATATATCTCTTATGTCGCATATATTTTCTGATTCTTAATAACTTATTTTTTCAGGGGGCACTCAAAGAAAAATAAATTTAGGCAGGGATCAGATATGAATGCTATGCGAGATGCTAATGAAATATTTGGTGATGTTGATGAACTTTTGACTATTCGCAAAAAGGGTTTGGCATCTAGTGAAAGGATGGAAAGAAGGCTCGAAGATGAGTTTGAACCAACTGTTCTCTCTGAGAAGTACATGACGGGGCAAGATGATGAAATCCGCCAGCTTGATATCCCCGAGAGAATGCAGGTGCATTATCTGCTTTAGTTTCCCTGTATGTGCTTGTGGTCTACATTTTTTTATTTGGTGTTCATGATAGATGTAAAGATATCTTGTAACTTTGACAGATATCTGAAGAAAGCACTGGAAGCCCTCCCGTAGATGAAATTAGCATTGAGGAAGAGAGTAATTGGATATATGCCCAACTTACTTCTCTACTTAAAGAATCTGATGGACAAGGTTTTCATAGTTTTGAAGAGAGGGGTTTCTCGGTTAACAAGGATGACATTGCAAAATTTTTGGAGCTACATCATGTGCAGAAATTAGAGGTTTCTGAATATATTCTGTTGTTGTAAATTTTCCTTGATTCATTGATTAGTATGCTAATGTTTTATGTCTTCTCTAGATACCGTTTATAGCTATGTATCGAAAGGAGCAATGCCGGAGCTTGTTGGACACTGCTGATGTTGATAGCGCCAATCAAGATAAGAAACCTGAGACTAAGTGGCATAAGGTAAGCAATTATTTTGGAGAAACTACAAGTACTCAGGTTAAAATTTATTGTCCGGGGAAATGTGTTAGATTAATGTAAGGTATTTGCCAATGTAGGTCTTCTGGATGATTCAGGACTTGGATAAAAAATGGCTCCTTCTTCGAAAAAGGAAAATGGCGCTGCATGGATACTATACAAAACGTTACGAAGAAGAGTCTAGGAGGGTCTATGATGAAACTAGGCTTAATCTAAATCAGTATCTTTTTGAATCAGTCATTAAGTCTCTTAAAGTTGCAGAAACAGAAAGAGAAGTTGATGATGTAGATTCGAAGTTCAACTTGCATTTTCCTGCTGGTGAAATTGGTGTTGATGAAGGGCAATACAAGAGACCGAAAAGAAAATCACAATATAGCATCTGCAGCAAAGCGGGCCTCTGGGAGGTTGCCAACAAATTTGGGTATAGTGCTGAGCAATTGGGACTTGCATTGTCCCTGGAAAAATTGGTCAGTATGATTTTATATTGTTTGAGCTGTATGTTGTACTGGAAGGACAGTTCTGACGCTGGTTGAGTTTCAGGTTGATGAACTTGAGGACGCAAAGGAAACACCAGAGGAGATGGCAATGAACTTTGTGTGTGCAATGTTTGAAGACCCTCAAGCTGTTCTGAAGGGTGCACGGCATATGGTATACTCTGCAATAAAACTATTTTATGATCTGTTTTACTGGATCGAATGTCCTAAGAACTTATTTTATCATTAATGATGAGATATCGGAATTTTCTTTGTTAGGCTGCAGTTGAGATAAGTTGCGAGCCATCTGTCAAAAAGTATGTCCGTGGCATTTATATGGAGAATGCAGTAGTCTCAACAAGTCCAACAGCAGATGGAAATACAGTAATAGATTCATTCCATCAGTTTTCTGGGATAAAGTGGTTACGTGAAAAGCCATTGAGCAAGTTTGAGGGTGCACAATGGCTTCTCATTCAAAAGGCAGAAGAGGAGAAACTTCTTCAAGTAACCTTCAAGCTGCCTGAGAATCACATGAATAGGCTAATTAGCGACTGCAATGAACATTATCTAAGTGTTGGTGTTAGTAAGTATGCTCAACTCTGGAATGAGCAAAGAAAGTTGATTCTGGAGGATGCACTTCATACTTTTCTTTTGCCATCGATGGAGAAAGAAGCAAGATCCTTGTTGACTAGCAGAGCAAAGAGTCGGTTGCTTTCAGAGTATGGACAGGCTTTGTGGAAAAAGGTTTCCGCGGGGCCATATCAAAAGAAAGAAATGGACATTAGCTCAGATGAGGAGGCTGCACCTAGGGTCATGGCATGTTGTTGGGGACCTGGAAAGCCACCAAATACGTTTGTGATGCTGGATTCATCGGGAGAGGTGCTTGATGTGCTCTATGCTGGATCCCTCACAATACGAAATCAAAATGTCAACGACCAGCAACGTAAAAAGAATGACCAAGATCGTGTTTTAAAGTTTATGATGGACCACCAACCGCATGTTGTGGCTTTAGGAGCTGTCAATTTGTCTTGTACTCGTCTGAAAGATGATATTTATGAGGTAAGGATTCATGAAACGCAATGGAACTATGATCTTTGACTCTAGCTAATGTAACATACATGTTCTAAGTTAAATCCTTTATTATAGCACTTATATTCATATGGTTCTGGAGTTTTGTCTGTAGAGTCCTGAATTTTGTGTTTTGTCATTTGTACTTTTGAACTGATATACCTTTCTGAGTTTGACTGCTTTCCCAAAATTGATGCTTATCTGATGTAGTAAGCTTGAGTCACTACTTTTGTAGCTCATCATGTCAAAGTTATCTGGTTGTGTTTCAGTTTGTATTGTTGTTTTTCTTGTTTAGTAAACTTGGTCATGTTTTATTTTTTTTATATCAGGTCATATTCCAGATGGTGGAGGAAAAGCCTAGAGATGTTGGACATGGAATGGATGATTTAAGCATTGTTTATGTAGATGAATCGCTTCCTAGACTATATGAAAATTCTCGAATCTCGGGTGAACAGCTACCTCAGCAGTCAGGGATCGTGAAACGTGCGGTTGCTCTTGGACGCTATCTCCAAAATCCACTAGCAATGGCTGCTACTTTATGCGGTCCAGGTAGGGAAATTTTGTCTTGGAAGCTTCATCCCTTAGAGCATTTTCTTCAGGCAGACGAGAAGTATGGAATGGTTGAGCAGGTTATGGTTGACATAACAAACCAGGTTGGAATCGACATTAATTTGGCAGCTAGCCATGAGTGGTTTTTTTCCCCTTTACAGTTCATTTCTGGACTTGGGCCTAGGAAAGCTGCATCATTGCAGAGGTCGCTTGTAAGAGCTGGTTCAATATTTGTTCGCAAGGACCTGATAATGCATGGGCTTGGTAAAAAGGTTTTTGTAAATGCAGCCGGTTTTTTGCGCATTCGCAGGAGTGGACTGGCTGCTAGTAGCAGTCAGTTTATTGACTTATTGGATGACACCCGAATACATCCCGAGTCATATAGTCTTGCCCAAGAATTAGCTAAAGATATTTATGATCAAGATGTCAGAGGTGACTCAAATGATGATGAGGATGCAATAGAGATGGCAATAGAGCATGTGAGAGATCGTCCAGGCTCTTTGAGAAAAGTGGTCCTTGATGAGTATCTTGCCAGCAAGAAAAGGGAGAATAAGAAGGAAACCTATAGTAATATCATGAGAGAATTAAGCTGTGGTTTCCAGGATTGGCGGATACCGTTTAAAGACCCAAGTCCAGATGAAGAATTTTATATGATTTCAGGTGAAACTGAAGACACCATAGCTGAGGGAAGAATTGTGCAGGCTAGTGTTCGGAGATTACAGGGTGGAAGAGCCATATGTGTATTAGATTCTGGGTTAACTGGGATGCTTACGAAGGAAGATTTCTCAGATGATGGGAGAGATATTGTTGAGTTATCGGACCGACTGAAAGAAGGCGATATCCTGACATGCAAGATCAAATCGATTCAAAAGGAGAGGTATCAGGTGTTCCTTGTTTGCAAAGAAAGTGAAATGAGAAACAACAGACACCAGCATAACCAGAATGTGGATGCCTATTATCATGAGGATAGAAACAGTCTCCAGCTTGTAAAAGAGAAAGCTCGAAAGGAAAAAGAGCTAGTGAGAAAGCATTTTAAGTCTCGGATGATTGTCCATCCTCGCTTTCAGAATATCACTGCGGACCAAGCAACAGAGGTATGCAAAACATTTACTCTTTACTTGTACTTAGTATGTCTTGATGAATGCTTTTGTTTTCTATTTAAAGAAATCTCTAAGATTAATTGTTGGTGTTATGTACAGTATTTGTCTGACAAAGACTTTGGAGAAAGCATTGTTCGTCCAAGTGCTCGAGGACTCAATTATTTAACTTTGACGCTCAAGATTTATAATGGAGTTTACGCTCACAAAGAGATAGTTGAAGGTGGGAAAGAAAACAAGGACATCACTAGCCTACAGTGTATTGGGAAAACCCTTAAAATTGGAGAGGACACCTTCGAAGATCTAGATGAGGTTTGTCGTTTTATATATCTAATTGTACTATCAATAAATAAAATTATTTGATTCTTGAACATCCTTAAGCTTTTTAAGATTCCTGGTACCTGGGAGCTCCTTTTGGATCTAATATGCTGTGTCTATAAATAATTTTAACCACACCATCTCATAATTGCAGGTGATGGATCGATATGTTGATCCTTTGGTATCTCATCTTAAGACAATGCTCAACTATCGGAAATTCCGAAAGGGGACCAAATCAGAAGTTGATGATCTTCTTAAGATCGAGAAGGGCGAAAATCCTTCAAGAATAGTTTACTGCTTCGGGATTTCTCATGAACATCCAGGCACCTTTATACTATCTTATATAAGGAGTACAAATCCACATCATGAGTATATAGGCCTATATCCTAAGGGATTTAAGTTCAGGAAAAGGATGTTTGAGGACATTGATAGGCTTGTGGCATACTTCCAGAGGCATATTGATGACCCATTGCAGGAGTCAGTGCCATCAATCCGGTCTGTTGCTGCCATGGTACCGATGAGAAGCCCAGCTGACCGTGGCTCATCTGGGGGAAGTGGTTGGGGTAGTTCTCAGAATGAAGGAGGCTGGAAAGGAAACTCAGATCGCTCAGGCTCAGGTAACGCATTTCAAAGTTGTTTTTTTTCTGTGGCCATTGTTTGACTTCTCGGGGTTTGATTTAATTCAAATTCTGGTAATCTGGATTTTGGTTGGAGAGAAACCATTCATGTATTAATATTATATTACATCTCTGTTGTCTTGACTATGTTTCTTCACGGAATTGTGCAAATGTATTATAGGGAGGGGTGGTGATTACAGAAATGGTGGTGGACGTGATGGCCATCCAAGTGGAGCGCCAAGGCCATTTGGTGGTCGCGGTCGTGGTCGAGGCAGAGGACGAAGAGATGATATGAACGGTGATAGACAAGATGGAAATGGAGATTGGGGTAATAATGATACTGGAACTGGAGATGGAGGTTGGGGAAGTAGTGGTGGTGGCGGTGGCGGTTGGGGAAGCGAGTCTGCTGGTAAAAAGAGCGGTGGTGCAGGTGGCTGGGGTAATGAGTCTGGTGGTGGCAGTACTGGTGGTTGGGGAAGCGAGCCTGCTGACAAAAAGAGTGATGGTGCGGGCGGCTGGGGTAGTGGATCCGGTGGTGGCGGAGGTTGGGGAAATGATTCTGGCGGTAAAAAGAGCAGTGAGGATGGTGGTTGGGGAAATGGTTCTGGCGGAAACGCATCTGGTGGTAAAAAGAGCAGTGCAGATGGCGGTTGGGGAAACGAGTCTGGTGCTAAAAAGAGCGACGGAGATGGCGGTTGGGGGAATGAACCCAGCAGTCGAAAGAGCGATGGCGGCGGCGGTGGTGGTGGATGGTGAGGAACACAACCGCAGCTTCAACAATGTTTGGTTGGGTAATTAAAAATTGCAAAGGCTAAGACAAAGACATAAAACACATTAGTAGTTAAATCTGCTTTGTTCTTAATCTTTTCTTTTTGTCTTAACTTGATGGTATTAGTATCGGTTATGTATTGTCCGACTTTTTTTTACTTTCCTGTTTCCAAGAAACTCTTTCAAGCGATGCTTACATTAACATCGATGAAGTAAAAAAAAAAGGTTCGAGATTTAGTTTATAAAATACTTAAATACCAAAACAACCTCGATATTGTATTCTTAAGATAACAATATTTAATTTTCCAACATTCAAATAGTAACAGTAACAAAATTAAGAATTATCTTATTTGTTTTATTTTCTTTGTCAATTTGCATCTTTATGTCTATAGTTCTTCTAGACGGTTAGTATTTCCTTTTTGTTACATATGTATGCTTGTAAATTTGACACCAGTCTTACACATATCTTATGCAAATCGAATATGTTAAACTTTAAATGAATACAATTCGTATTTGCTACAATGTGACTAAAGGTGTGAATGGTTACATCGATCGAGATAAACAAATCCATCAACAGTTTAGTCCACTCTATTTTCGTGGCGGATAACAAACAACAGCGTACCAACTATATCTGTATATAAAAACGATACACATTTGTTCCACATCAGTTTTCTTTGTAACCACACTACTACATATATAATTAGTGAATGGTGAATAAAAAGTGGGTCGATTCATAAATGGGTTGTTTGCTTGAACTGTGTAACCATTCAAACTCTAAATCATACCATATCTTAACAATTTACCATCTTGGTATGTAAACTTAATTATCTGAGTTAGATTGTTTCTTTTCTTTGGCTTAAACTTGTCCTTATAGATTACTTTGTGAAATTCTTTAAAGTAAAACTAAACCATTTAGATCTCGAATCAAATTTTAGATCGTATTCGGTTTTCTAAATTTTTGTTTCGGGGTTTGTAAAAAACCGGTTCGGTTAATTTTTGTTCACCCTTAAAATAAATCCAATATATTACCATGGTGACTTTTCTAAAATCAACACCCTCACCAAATTGGGATAATCGTTCTTTGGGATAAAATTGGAGGAATACTATTAATTCCAATTCTATTAACACTAATTAAGACAAAATTATGATTTTAAGTAATTAAAAATGGCTGAGCTTTTTTTTTTTTGTCGTTTTTTTTTTTTTTGTCGTAAAAATGGCTGAGCTTAATTTACCCTTTTGCCATTTCTTCTTTTTCGATTAAAAACGTCTTTGTGAGAAGAAGAGAAAAGAGAGCTTCGTGATTTTGAAATCGATTTAGACGCAATCAATCTCAATGGATGGTGATGACGATTTCTACAGCGGCACCGAAAACTACTCCGATTACGCCGACAGCGACGCCGAAGAAGACGCCGACTTCGAGTTCGTTGAAGACGCCGCTGATGATTCCGATGACCTCATTTTCCGCCGCCGCCAGGTTTCTCCCCCATCTTGATCTACATCTCATTTTAAAGGTTTTGAAATACAGAGATGCAATATTTGTATTCGAGTTTTGGTTTATCAAATTCTCGCAGGACCTATTTTGTAATGTTGGTGATGATTTCGAATTGAATTGAGCAATTTTATAGATCGCAAATTGCTCATGAAAAAATTGATTTTGTTTTGGTTTTGGTTTTGGTTTTGTAGCAAAATTATAGTGTGTTAAGCGAGGCAGATGTATGTAAGCTACAAGAAGATGATATTTCAAGGATTTCTACTGTTTTGTCGATTTCGAGAAATTCATCTGCTATCCTGCTTCGTCACTACAATTGGTGTGATTCCAAATTTCGTAATCAAGAACATTGATTGCAGCTTTTTTTTTTCAAATTGTTTTGGTGCTTAGAAGTGTTTTGTTTGTGAAAAATGTTTAGGTGTGTGAGCAGAGTTCATGATGAATGGTTTGCTGATGAGGAAAAGGTTCGAGATGCTGTTGGTTTGTTGGAGAAACCTGTTGTTGATTTCCCAACTGATGGAGAAGTATGCTTCCCATAGTTTATATTTCCATTGTGATTAACATTAATTTAGCTGTGCCTTTTGTTCATAATTGTTTCTTTCTCATCTTGGCAGCTTGATTGTGGAATCTGTTTCGAGACTTTCCTTTCTGACAAATTGCATGCTGCTGCTTGTGGTCACCCGTTCTGCGAGTCATGTTGGGAAGGTTTGTTTTACTGTTATCTTGATAATATTGAGACCCATTTCCAACTTTGATGTTTAGATATAACTTTTGGGTTGCCTATCTGACCTTTCGCCATCTTTAGGTTATATCACCACCGCGATTAATGATGGTCCAGGGTGTCTTACGTTACGATGTCCAGATCCTTCTTGCAGAGCTGCTGTTGGTCAGGATATGATAAATTTGTTAGCACCTGAAAAAGATAGGCAGAAGTACACATCTTATTTTGTCAGATCATATGTTGAAGACAATCGAAAGGTAAGCAAGCTATTTCAGTTTGGTCATACTTCAGACATGTGTATGACATTTATTTCTCTTATCTTAACCTTCAAATGAGAAGCATTGCATAATTTTAGTGCTCTTTTTTTGTCCATATTATGTTCTCACTGAGTTAGTAATGCATTTTCTATTCTGTAGACCAAGTGGTGTCCCGCTCCTGGCTGTGACTACGCTGTAAACTTTGTTGTTGGGAGTGGTAATTATGATGTGAACTGTCGCTGTTGTTACAGTTTCTGCTGGAATGTAAGTTGCTCTATCAGTTAGAATCAAAATATTTTCTTCTTTCCATTGTGTTGAATTATTGACACAAACTACCATGTGACTCAATCATCATGGTTTCTGCAGTGTGCTGAAGAAGCTCACCGTCCTGTTGATTGTGACACCGTTTCTAAGTGGATATTGAAGAATAGCGCCGAGTCTGAGAATATGAATTGGTACGTTGATTTATAAGATATATTTGAGATATGTCGATGCTTAAGATGTTTGGGATGTTGTTGACAAGAAAGGTTTCGCAAGTATTCATTAAAGTGTTTGGGTTCTTTACTTATTTATATTATACTGGTAGTGATGGCTACCATTTTGTATAGCCAAAGGTAGCCAAAATGGTGGATCGTATGCATTTTCAGTTGTTAGAAAGCCAATTTAGTTACTTCTCTATCATCTCCTAGCATTAGGCTGCATCATGCTTCACATAATTTATTGTACTATTGTTGCTGCTAAATTCAATTTTGACTTTCAGGATTTTGGCAAATTCCAAGCCCTGTCCAAAATGCAAACGGCCAATTGAGAAAAACCAGGGTTGTATGCATATTACATGCACCCCGCCATGTAAATTTGAGTTTTGCTGGTAAGTTGATAGAGTGGTTGATTGTACAGAATGCCATCATCTCATTAGTTCTGCCTCTCTATACTTCCTGGAATTCAACTCCGAATTGAATTTTTATGTTTTTAGCTCTGAAGAGAAGTAGAACATAAGTGGATTAATTTTTTAAGGTTTTGCTAGTGTATAAAAATCTGCTGTGTATCATCTTTCTGTAGCTTTCCGTATCTTATAATCTGATGGTCATGTGAATCATCTGGTTGTGTAAGATTCTTTGTTGCTCACAGTGAGATATCGTGAAAAGTAGTTTGTATTGTATAAATGCAGGCTTTGCCTTGGTGCGTGGACAGAGCATGGTGAGAAGACAGGTGGTTTTTATGCTTGTAACCGTTATGAAGCAGCGAAGCAAGATGGCATTGTACGTTTTTTCTGTACATTGTTTCTTTTCCTGACTGAAAACTATTGTCTATTTTATCTTCGAACACATTTGATGTCTTCCATAATCTTTCTGTGCAGTATGATGAGACTGAAAAACGCCGAGAGATGGCAAAGAACTCTCTTGAGAGATATACCCACTACTACGAAAGATGGGCGACCAATCAATCGGTATGTAACTATTTATTCATTTAATTTTCACATTTTTTAATCTAATTCCTCTTAAGGAGGAAATTAAGAAAGAGTTTTCAGCTGCCAAATTCAAATCCCTTGCTATAGAACAGAAAATCTCTTTATGTACCTTGAAAAGTAGATGAACTCTTTCACAGTTTGATGTTTAATGACTAATCTAAAGTTTATACGTTTTTAATTGTTCAAGATAGAGTACAAAAAGATATGAAAGTATATATTTTGGTTGAGAATTTTGGAAAATTAAGGAAGTGAAGCTGACTGTTTTGAAAAAAATTAAAGAGACTCTGAACTTTGAGGTACATATAGTGCCTGTGATATATTTTCCGGAGAAGGAACTGTTGTCCCCTACTTATGTTCGTTGAGGGCTTAGGTATTATGTTAAATTTGTTAAAAGTCTCTGTCATATTAAGCATATTAACGAAATTAGGCTTTGGAAGGTTCATCTGCCTGAAGGTTCATGTTTCCTTTAAAATATATTTTTTATTGAATAATGACCCCAAGAAAGTATATCCCAAAAAGCATATTGGCGTTTATTCTTAAACAATTTACAAGTTTTTTCACTGCTTTCTGCAGTCTAGGCAAAAGGCGCTGGCGGATCTTGAGAAGATGCAAACTGATGATGTGAGCTTACAGTGCAACACTTGCTGATGTAAATAAGAGTCACCAAGTATTGTTTGATGATAAAAGTGTGAAATATCTAAAATAAGCATTGCTTGTTTTCATACCAATCTGTGATTTCAGATTTTATCCACTTAAATTCAGGAAGTTTGGTTAAGATTAGGACGTTTGATTAAGTTAGCATGATGATCTTTTACAAGAGATACTATATATGTCCTTATTGATTTTTGTCTATTTTGGTATGAAACTTCTAACTTCGATGAATTTCTTCTTGCTTTTAATGGGCTTCACAGATTGAGAAGCTCAGCGACATTCAGTGTCAGCCTGAATCACAACTGAAGTTCATTATAGAAGCGTGGTTACAGGTAAAATCCGTTCCTCCTTTGGCCTTTCTGAGACTTTTGGATTTTGCTCACTAATTTGCTCTACCATCATAGATAGTCGAGTGCAGACGAGTTCTAAAATGGACATATGCCTATGGTTTTTACATACCTGACCACGAGCATGGAAAAAGAGTGTTTTTTGAGTACTTACAAGGTAACTTGATTTAGCTCTCACATTTGAAATTAACTTTGCTTTCAAAAATTTGGTTTTGATGAGTGAATTACTTTGTCCTTGTTTTTCCTGGTTTTGGTCTTTTCCTAGCTGGAACAGTTGAAAAAAAGTTGGATAAGAGAATT